CAAAGAGAGGAAATAAGAGAAAGCACAGAAAAAATGGATGTACCATCAACAGACAAAGATGAAAATACAAAAAAAGGCCTAGGGAAACTGTTTGGGGAATTTGAACCTTCCTATCCACAACATCAGGCAGAAGACAAGGATAAAACTCTCAGGGGATCTTCTGATTTCTTTCAAAGCCCATCCCCAAAGGTGTTATATACTGATATAGGGGGTCCAGGTGGAACTAAGATTGAAGAACAAGCTTCTGCAAGAAATGTTTCAGAGACAGCAAGAAACACTCTTCCACCAAAACTTGGAGATCGTTATGGGTATGTTGATTTACAAAGACTGCATGAAGCATCAGAAGTCTCTCCTTCACTGACTGTCAAGGAGAATGTAACAAAATTACTCTCTGATACTGTTACTGGACATGATAAGGAACGGCCTTATGGCAGAGCTATCGTGTTGTCCTCTGTGAAGAGAAGAGAACCTCTTGGCTTTCAACATCAAGAGCACTCTAACCAACAGTGTGATGTGAAAAAAACTGTGGAAAAAATAGTTCAGCCAAATCATGAACATAATGAACTTAAAGCTGGTTTGCGGAAACTGCTCAGAGAAGCCTTTGCATATCAGCCTTCTGAATCCAGAGGGGTAGAAATGAAAATATCTGATACGATGAACAGTACATCACAAACTAGTTGGGGTGCAGAAACAACATGCCAACAAGATGTTGCTCATCCGGAAGAGGCAGATGAGACCGTAGAAAGGTCTGTTGCTCCGTCCAAGTCTGGTGGATTCAGTTCTGCTTTGGAGAAGCTGCTGAAGGAGGCCTCTGAACCTTCCCCTCCTGAACCAGAGAGTTTGGACAGAGCAGTACCTCGGGCTGCTGAGATGCCCGCTGCAAGCGTGACCTGTCAGCGTGGCGCAGAGTCACCTCAGGAAATCCGTGAGACCGTAGAAAGGTCTGTTGCTCCGTCCAAGTCTGGTGGATTCAGTTCTGCTTTGGAGAAGCTGCTGAAGGAGGCCTCTGAACCTTCCCCTCCTGAACCAGAGAGTTTGGACAGAGCAGTACCTTGGGCTGCTGAGATGCCCGCTGCAAGCGTGACCTGTCAGCGTGGTGCAGAGTCACCTCCGGAAATCCGCGAGACCGTAGAAAGGTCTGTTGCTCCATCCAAATTTATCTCTGAAATGCAAGCTCCTATACTGAAAAATATGGATAAGAAAATGCAAGATAAAATACTAACTAGTCAAGGTACATGTGCTCCATTCCAGCATGAGAGAGATCATCCTCAAGAAATAAAAGAAACAATAGAAAAAATTTGTGTTTCAGCTAATACAAACTTCAGTGAAGTCAGTAGCTCCCTAGAAAAACTTCTTAAGGAAGCCCCTGAATATTCATCTCCAATATCCAAAGAGTTACATGTACAAGGAAAATTTCAGGATCCTATGTCTCCATCAAAAAAGGATACTCTATCCATGACAGTGTCACAGCCTTATCATAATGCTTTAAGTAATTATCAGACACACATAAAAATAGGTATCAATAGGAAAACTCTGGAACCAAATAGCAAATCTTCAATTGTTGATCATGTGGTAAATGAAGCTGAAGCGTCTGATGTCCCCAAAAGAGATGTTACACTTCATAAAAGGGAAGAGAGAAATATGGCTCCAACAGATGTTCTCCCCTTTGAAAGAGAGACCAAGACAATTACAATCAAATCACTCAAGATAAATGAAAAAATAAGGACAGGTGAAAGCACATCCTTGATTGCTTCTGGAAATAATTCAGAATCAAAATCACCATTGAAATTCAGAAGAGCAAGCACACCTCTTAAAGATGAGAGGAGCTCCCCCCAGCCAGAAGCAACAGAACTCTGCCTTACATCTCGTCTTGAAAATGAAGAGGAAGGTGACAGCACCAGTTTGGGATCTGAGTCTTTCGATTAAAAACTCTGATTCCTACTTTGGAACCAGAAGTTCAGCTCTTGAGCTGTTTCATTTCTAAAATTTGTGGTGTTTGGTTGTTAAACACAGCTACAATTTTTCTGATAGCCAACTCGAAATATGTGAACTAAAAGTCTGGGATACTTACTTATTTCTTAATTGAATGCTTTGGATATTTTGGGGGAGGAGTGGGAAGAACTAATTAGATTTCTTAATTGGAAAGTGTTTTGATAAGCTTGTGCTGCCTTGGGTAAGCTTTTTTGATTAGGGAAATTGAGCAACATTAATCAATTGCATGTCTTCATGCTTTACCCTTTTTTCCTCTCCTGTGATATCTCTTTCAATTTAGTAATGTTGTATTGATTGTATATTGGTATTTCTTTTAAACATTCAAAAAAGAAAAGGGAGAGAAAGAAAACAGTGGGTGACTGAGCTCATGAGCTCATTCTTTACTTTTGCCAGCTGGTCTCTAAAGGTAAATGCTTATTAGTGGAATGGCTGGATATGAAGACAATACCAAAATCTTTTTTTTCCAGAAAGAACTCTATGGTATTTTAATTTAGTAATGCTGCCTGTTGCACTAGAATACGGCTGTAAAGATGAAGTGCTCTCTTTACCAGAATTCTCATTTTTTGGTTAAATGACAGCTCTAATCCATGTATGGAGTATAGGAGTCATTGAAGAGCTTAAGGTAGAGGAGATAGTTTCTCAGGAGCTGAATAAAAAGGCTAAATTGTGAATATATTCAAAACGTGGAGAAACTGAGAAATCTGTCAAGTTTTGAGGGCCTTCTAACTAATTCCTCAGTGTTTTATGTAAGTGAGATGCCAATGGGAGTCAATGAGAACTCTGATCTGCATGACAGATGAGGAAGAATGAAACAGGTTTTGTTTTAGCCCAAAGTTACAGTGTTCCTGTCTGTAAGTCTTAGCCAGTTGGCGGGTGGGGGGGAAGGTGGGGTAGGGAGAAGAGAGGATCTAAACAAATAATTTTGAAGGAGCTAGATCTGCCTTGATATTGCCCGTGGAAACAAATGCACACTAATTTCGGGAATTTAAATCGCTCTACAATTGGGTTTCTTGTCGTTGTTATTCAAGTATTGAAATAGCAGCTGATTTTCACGGGGGAGAAAACATAAGGACAAATTGGCACAGAGGAAAAACAAAACTATTAACTTATTTTTAGTGCTGATTCATAACAAAATAGCTGCAATCTGAGTTTATTCCATCTGATTTTAAAGCACTTAAATACCATATTGCCCTAAAAGCTCTTGTTACTGAGTACAGACAGAGGTACCTACACAGGGCAAATCAGCCAACCTGTATCTCTCCATGAATGGCTGAGAAAGTTTAGAGTGAGCATATTCTTAATGTAGGCACTTTAAGGCCTAAAGCTAGATGGGATTAATGCTGACTGAATGGCATAAGCCTAATTCCAGTAATCCTGCATCTCTTTAGTGTATCGTTTAGACTGCATGTTTGATCACAAATGTCTGATCACTTAAAATATGTGTCTACATAAATGAACTGGTAATGAGAAGCTACCTGTTGCCATCATGGAAACAAACCCTTCATAAACATTGCTAAATTTCGTCCCTATAAATGTTAAAATTAGTCCACTCTGTTTTGCTTTCCGTTTTAAGTCAATTTAAGCTAAAACACTCAGATATCTGTTTCAGTAGCTCCTTAAAAATACTTATTTTTGAAAGCCCGTGTCTTATAAGTATGGGCTAATTTCTTGTTCCTATGCCACCAGTTTTAGAGTAACTGAACGCAATATATCCCTCAATTTATGGTATAGGATTTATCTTCTATTTTCATTGAATGGTCACTGTGTTTGCTAAAGGTCAAAATAGATTTCTGTGAGAAATCAGTTGTTGGTTTTCTAGTGAGCTGTTTAAAGTGGTGTGTCTGTGTGTGCGGTGTTCACATGTTTTGTCTCGTAACAGGTTCAGAAGAAGAGTTAAACCCTGTTTTGATGGCTTTGAAAAGGAGTGCAGATAGGAAAGTGCCTTCCAAAAGTCTAGAGGACATTCCATCAGCCACCTCAAGTGAGCACAAAGTTGTCTGTGTCTCCTATGACCCTCAGTTTGGCTTAAACACATTGTGCTGTTCTTCCACACAGCTTTGCCAAGTAGCATATTAGTGCCTTGACACTGAGCCTTGGCAGGGAAATTACTTTCTGAATAAGCACGCGAAGTGCTTCAAAAATAAAATCCATACTTTGTCTTACTTTGCTTCTCAGTAAGTATAGAGTTAGTACTGAAAAATGACTTATTTTCTCATAGTTTTGTTTTCAGTTCATGTTCATTTTGAAACAACACTGGTCTATGAAGCAGGCAAAAATGCATTAGGTTAATCAATGATGAATAATTTCTTGGATAGTGAGAAAGTCTTATATGGCAGCCTCTCTGAGATTTTTTTTTTTGTTGTTCCTGTCTCCCTTTTCCATGCCCCTCAGTGTTTTCTTGTTTTTTCCATGTCTAATGGAGAAGACATAAACTGAATGTATATTTACAAACTGTCATGTGGAGGTGTAGATTTTGAAAGGTTTTGGCTGTTGTGGACAAACTACTCCTCTAATACTACTTACGCTATTGCTTGCTTCTAGCTACGTACTAGGTTTTAAGTATAGATGTATTAACATTGTTATAACAACACACTGATAGAAACTGTCAATGATTACATAAGAGATCCCCTCTTGGAGGCAGACTTGAAGTAGCATGCTAAGTAAAAGCATTTCTTGAATTTAACCATGCCAATGGCTCTGCTGGTTTTTGTTTGGGGAGTTTTTGCCCTCAGTCCTACTAACTCTGTGGCTGCCACTGCAATCCGCTTTATCATACCAAACAGCAAGCTTTCTAACTATGTGTTACTTTTTTCCTGCACAGATAAAGGAAAAATAAATATTCCAAAGGAAGAATTAGCTCTTAGTGCTGAAGATGGTAAATATATTTTGTGTCTGCATGGAAGTTTATTGTTTTTTCAGTGTTCTCTGTTTGCTAGTGAAAGATTTTTCCAAACTTCGGAACTGCATTCTTCTTGTAGATTTGGTTAGCTTCAGCATGACTTAAATGCTTTTGTAATGTTTTGTTATTTTATTCTTAAGTTGTATTCTTACGTTATGTCTTACTATTCCTGTAGAAACTCTATGCCATCTACTGGTGTGTTATTTCAGTCTTTGATCATCCTGCCTATGGAAAGGTTACTGAAATCACTGAGAGATTTGAACATCAGTTGAAAGACTGAGCCCATTTAAATGTTGAATTTGTCTGTGCATCTGTTGCATTATAAGGTGCAAGATGACTTCTGCTCACACAGAACACCCTTCAGAATACATCTATTGAAAATGAACCTCTCCAAATCCCTGTCTCTATCCAGCAAAGTAGAATTATTTACTTTGAGCAATAAATGAGCCACTAGATCAGCTACTGTTGATACCAGTGATCTCCTAGCGCGTTACAGATGCCATAACGTTAAATTTTGTCAGTCACGCTTTGCATTAAGTGTGTGCATAAAGCTACTGATGTGCCGTTTGATTATTTTTCTCTAAGCCTGTACTCCTTTAGGAATATCAAATCTAAGCAAAGCAAAGCAAAGCAAACCTGTTCCAAGAACGTCAGGGTGAACACACTGGAAAGCTGTCAAATAACTGAGTATGGTGGAATATAACATACAATTCTTTATCGTGTTGTTGCACAACCGTTTTAAAAATGAGTTGTGCATAGTAGTATTTACTATCACGTTTTACATGCTTCAAAGCATTTTGTGAGTTAGTGGTCTGTAGCATAATAGGATGCTAGCAGCATACTAGGATGCACACAGTGTCCCACATGTTAACAAGACTTATGTACCACACTTAACTGTGCTTTGAAACAGGGTAAGTGGTACCAAGTGGTAGACCCTACTGAAAGTATGCTGTATGTTCAATCTGGAATATACAGTCACTTAGCTGAAGAGAGAGGCTCTTTTGGAGTCAAATTTATCGAGGATGCAGTTTTAGAAAAAAGGCCAACACAGTCAAACTGATAGCTGTGCAAACAGAATCAGGCAAGTTCTCTTGAAAATACCATTCACGGTTTTGAATCACTTAGCCTGTATGCTCTCATTCCCTTTGTTGTGATCCAGCTCCTCAGGAGAGTGATGCAAAACAGAAGAATAGAGGGTGTTGGGAAAGCTGAGACTTTACACACACAAAATATAATGATACTATTTATAACATTGCAAAGCTGTTTGTGCTACTGAATGACTGTTGTCAATACTGCACTGAGCAGATCTGAAACCTGGTGAGCATCAAGAGAGGAAAGAAAATGCAGCAGGAAGTGAGTAATAGGATTCTTTCACCAGACAATGGAGAGATTTCTCCGCTGATATCTAAACTAATAAATTAAAAATCCTTTTTTTTTTCATAATAACTAACAAGTTATACATCTAGACTAAATGCTTGCCAAATGGGAAACTGCATCTAACAGCATACTGACCATAACTGATATGTTTAGTGTCATTTGAGTTTCAATGCCAAAAACTTTGGAGGAGCTTAACTTATGCCTTGCAAACAATCCCGTCATGTGTGCCATGTTTAGTTTTATGCAGTAGATGATTACCACTGTAGCTGGCAGTTTGATGCCAAATAATTCTCTACCCACAGATATTGAGTATTGGTGCATTTTGCAATGTGCATCCAGTGCAGATGTGGAGCTTTTATATAGTGTCAAATATGATTGGGTTACAGCATGGACAATTCTGATAATTGGATGTTTACTGCAAACAGGATTTTTGCAAGGCTAGCTTGTGCACTTGAGCTTTGTACTGTGAAATCAACAAAGAACGCAAAAGTGAAGTTCAGTAGAGCTTTACAAAAATTAGAGATCTGCTGCGAGATATTGCGTCATCAAAGGGATATGCATTATCTAATTACCTAGGAATATTTTATTATTACCTAGGAATATTTTATTATTTAACTAGCTAGGAATATTTGCAACTTCCTTGTTCAGGTGTCAGCACTGCTTAATTTACACAAATATTCCTAGAGCCATTAATGAGACTGAGTAAATAGAAGAGCAGTTGGCTTGTGTACTGACTTTTTACCAGGAACCTTATGATGACTCCAATATCAACAATGGTATGATTAGTGTACAAGTGCACTTATCCTTGTTCTAGGAAGGAAAGCTGGAAGGGAGCTGGTTTTATTTTTTTATTGCATTTGATCAGAATTTTGTTGCAGCACCTGGGTTTGTACGTTATGTCAAGCAATGTGAACGCGTCTGTTTCTGCCAGACAAAGTATTGTGGCCAGTGTTTTGCAAGATGTCAAACTAGATTGTCTTAGCGGACTCTTCTGTGAGTCCAATGAAAAATATCTTGCATCTAAGTTGTAAACTGGTTGTGCATGTGCATGTATTTCATCTGAGGTTGTTTGTTTCTAACCATTCCCTGCTATGGAATCTCACTCTTTTTGATGTACAAACTTATTTTTGAAACTTTGAATTGCTGCTGCTCTTTAGTTTCCACAGTGCCTTCACAGCCTGATAAGCTGTTTTCAAATCCGGAAAAACTCAAAGGACTAAGCAAGTCAGTACCATCGTTCCTTCAGGAAGAGGCAAGTTCTGTATTTGAAATAACATAACTAAAGCTTTAGTTTACTGTGGCGTTACGTGTTTGCCAGATAGTACTTTTCAGGGTATGCCAAGCCAGTTTCCTATTGGATAATGAACAGGGAGTTGAGCTTGTAGTGCGACTAGCAGGATATGATCACAAGTAGCCTGTGGTTGATTCATCTTTCAGAATTTTTAGTCCAGTAACCAGAGATTTATTCATACTGTACCAGTCTACACGTAGAGCATGTTTTCTCTCCGAGGTCGAAGCATTTTCTTCAGAGGGTACATAGCTTTTAGGCTAAAATGAGCTTGTAAGACTATATGTAATAGCACCATCTGCTGACCCTTCTCAGAGAGGTACTCACTGGGATCTAGGTTCAGGTACCAGGCTTTCTTTCTCTAAGTAGGTAGCCTTAGAGTTTTCAACAACATACTGTGCCTTTTTAAGTCCACCTCAGCTTAGTCTCTATACTTTATTTTAAAAAAGGAGCATGGTGAGGGGCCTTGGAGATCTGGAGTATGACCTCAGAGCTTATTCCTGATCTGACAGTGAAGTTTGAGGGAGTTTAGCAATTTGAACTGCCTAGTCTGTGACTCCCCAAACGCTCAGTGGATAGAGGTGTGGAGGCTGTATATGGGTCAAGCACCGAATGTCTAAAGTAGATGGGCTGAATATATCTGAATAGATATTCTCCACTGGTCACAGGGAATGGGAAGCTCTAGAGAACAGGAAATACTGTAACACTGTTGAATTTAGATAACACAATAGGTTCCTCCATTTTTCTTGTGCACCACAGTAAATCGTATGAAAATGAATTTGTGTGGCAATTGTGCACGTGAAACCTCCCTCTCCTGCCCTCCAAGCTGTCAGCAAGTCACAGTTACAGTTGCTGTCTTTCATGGTGGTTTAAACAGCTGAGTCCTGTGAATGATGGAGATTCATTAGTGAACACGGGATTAGATGTGACACAGGAACTGGGGGGCATAGACGCCACAAAAAAATGTCTATGCTCTTAACCTGAGGAATGGTTACACTGCTTACCTCAGTCCTTATTGTTATAAATGCAGTCAGACATCAATATTTTGGGTTGCTCCTCTAAAAACAAGTGGCTGAAAGGACTGAAGGGTCAATTTCAGGACTATTGCTCTGCCTTGCCTTCCCCTGTTCTCCTTCTGAAAGTTTAAAACATCCAAGATAACTTCTCTAAGGCATTGCACTGTGGGCAGGTCAAAAGATTAACAGCTCAAAATGTTAGAGGTGGGATATTAAGCAAGTTTGAAATCTGTAGTTGAGTATCTAAAACAAATCAGTTAAAGCTGCTGAAAGAAGCCAATTTAAAAAACTTACTGGTGCGCGTCCTGAATGAAGCAGTCTGACAAATACTGAAAAGACAGTGAACTATACATGCTCAATCTGATCACAGTAGAAATGGTTTTGGGATGGTCCCTTTTGATATTCTAAGAAATTGTCAGTACCCGAATCTGTTTATTCTGCCCTCCAAATTTGCCTTTAAAAAGGTAGTTAGTCCTAATACTATCTTGTAATACGTCCTCTTCTGTGAGCTTGATAGCTCAAGACACAGGCCATCTGGTTTGCATATTTTCTTTATATGTCTTTTAATATTTTTTTAATGAAAAAATATATTAGCAATAATTAACTATTTAAAAGTTTAATTAGAAGTAACTTTTAAACGAAGTTCATACCCCATCAGTAGGATAAATTGTGTTCTTTTTGAAGGTTGCTACTCCGTAATATTTATAGAGGTCGAGTGAAAATAAACACCTTACTAATTATAAGGCTTATTCACATATGCTGGTTCTGCCTTTGAGTTTATTATCACCTAAGTACCATCTGGTCAATAAGAAACATGAAACTAATGAATAGATAACATAAGTCTAATAGAAATAACAAACAGAAATAAGCATTGTAGACACCATATCATCATGGTGAAATTAACATTGTTGCTGTGTGTTGGTTCAGTTCTGGAATTGTTTTAAAAATAATATATTCTGATAATAAAACACTTTCTAATTAACACAAAATGACAGCCGCTCAAAACTGTATAAAGGAGGGGGAGAGCCTTGTCATATGTTCACAGTTGGAATACGGAGTGATAACAATTTGTGTAGGAAGATCCCAAAGTACACATGGAAATTGAAGAAGAATTCTGCCTTTTGTACAGGGAAGACGTGGAGACAGAACAGGGTTGTGAGCACACAATCTGATAATGAGCAAGTAAACCAAAACTATAGTTCCCTGATGTAAAACCAGGGCTCTACTTGCTCTCTTGCAATAAAGGCATTTTCCAAAAGCCATTTATTCTATCCAGTGCTCTTCTACTGTGCATGTTACCTCCTACTTAACTGTCTTAAAGACAGAGGCTTGAGAATTGATAGTATTCTCTATACAGCAGAAAGGGACTGGTGAAAGATCTGAGCATTACCATTTGCAAAATTTTATTCATGTTGTAGTGAAGTTGAGTTTAATTGTCCCAATAAAATTAACTTTTTACTTTCCATTGCTATTTGAGATTAAAAAAGAGTCTAGTTGTGTTACTGTTTTAAAAAAAAAAAAAAAAGGCTTTCCATCTGAAAAATTCCCTTTCAACTTTTTTTTTTTTTTTTTTTAAGTGCATGAGCTTTTTAAGAACATTATTAATTACTAATGTTGCACTACTAGGAGATTTAAATTCAGGTTTTTACTGAATCCCAATCTGCATTATTAAAGTTCTGATACATATTTTTCTAATGTTCCTTGTGACTCCATAGTACCTACATAGACTTTCTTTCTGTGATGTTTTTGTAGAGTGATGACAGAGAGACAGATACAGCATCAGAAAGCAGTTATTCCTTTGGCAGAATCAAGAAGAGTCCCAGCTCTCTAACCAATCTTAGCAGCTCTTCTGGCATGGCCTCCTTATCCTCTGTATGTACACCAAAGCCTTGTTTTAATGGTACTTTGCTTATGCTAATCTCTTCAGCCGTGTCCTGCCTCCTTTCTCATTCCTCTTATCTTTCTTTCCTTGGCACTTCTGTCTGTCTCCTTCCTTCCTTCCTTCCTTCCATCACATAAACCCTTGCATGGAGTTGCTTTAGAAAAAACAAAACAAGGACAAAACAGAGCAACTAAATGTTCAAAGCCATTTTTCTGGTATATAAATGGAATAAATTATTTTTACTCTTCTGGTTTAATGACCAATATTGTTACATTATAGGTTTCCCTAAGGAGTATTGGATGGATCATATTTTGTGTTTACTGTAGTCATATAGTGAAGCCTGTTCAGGACTCCGCTGTGCAAGGTTCTCTATAAAAACTGAACAGAGAGATAGCTTTAACCCTAAGAGCTACAGCTGTGGCTCAAAATGAGGGACAGTGTGCACAAAGCAAGTGTTAAGAAATGGAGCAAGAGAAAAAAGGAGGAGACGGTCAAAGAAGGAGACGGTACTGGTGTGGGATGGTGATTAAGTCAGTGACTGGTCAACCAAAAGTCATCAGTTTATGTGAGCTTTATGGAAAAAGACAAATTTGGGGGAAGGATAACGAGATTTAAAAAAATTGTACCTCCTTTTTCAATCCATCTAGGGTTTAATCTTCAAATATACTTTTTTTTAGGCACCTAATTTAGCCTCATAAAGACTGCTTAGGAATAAAGTCCTAATCTTTTTGATATTTTCAGGTCTGTTCCCCTAAAGTCTAGGCTCTGCTTTCTCTGAGGAAGATCAGCTGAAGAGATACTTAAAATATCTGATCGCAGGCAGTCAGCAGTTGTGCAGCATCCTGTCATTCTACTTCTATCTTAATACCATAAACACAGACATTTTTACAGCAAGTTTAGCCTAACACCTTTAAGATATACAAAGAATATTCTTTGTTAATCTGCTTGCTGAGAAGCTTTTGTAATAGTCCCCCCCTTCTAAATTATATCTAAAAGGACACAGCTCATTTCTTTACTGTCTGAATTCCGAGCAGAACTTCTACCCTGATCTTGAAGTATCTGGCCAAACGCAAAACGTGAAAAATTTTCTTCCTCTTGTATGATACAGGTGAGTGGAAGTCTAATGAGCATCTACAGTGGAGATTTTGGGAATGTTGATGTGAAGGGCAACATTCAGTTTGCTATTGATTACGTAGAACAGCTGAAGGAGCTCCACATTTTTATTTGCCAATGTAAAGACTTGGCAGTGGCAGATGTTAAGCAACAGCGTTCAGACCCGTAAGTATAACTAGACTATACGTTTTTTTTTCCTGATGAAAGTTTCTTTTAATATATAAATGAAGAAAACTGATTTTTTTCAGTCACTACCACTTGTTGGATTAAACAGCCAAATAAATGAATGAAGAGGCTATAACATGCTTTCTATGGCTGTTATCCCCTCTGAACCGAATATAGATTTGCCACTGTAAATTAATGCATGTATTAACTTTGGAAGCTCCGACTTTTAAGAATATGGAACTCTACTCTTAGGTTTTAAATTTAACTTTCTAGATGGTAAATCCTGGTTTGATATGCATCCAATAGAATAAGAGCCTATAAATGTTAAATCTAGGCATACTGTGTTTAAACATTGTGCGTTTGTATGGGTTGAGGAGACATTCTTACAGATTCCCCCAGGCAGAGAATGGCTAAGGCCTCACTTTGGAAAATAAGCACGATTTTTATAACTTTTAAACCACTATTTTTTCCATTTCTTAAATGGCATAAGCTGAACAACATATTGACTACCTAAATGGATTTAGTTTACTTTATAAGACCATTGTATTTTATTTTTCACTGACTTGTGTATTTTGGATGAGGAAGTTGGAAAGGTATTTTCTTAATGTTTTTACTTGTCTGTTTAAATTTTAGGTATGTAAAGACTTACCTGCTTCCAGAGAAATACAAGCTGGGCAAACGGAAGACCTCTGTGAAAAAGAAAACATTCAATCCGGTCTATAATGAAATACTGCGGGTATTTATCAAGCTATTACTAGACGAAAACCCAAGCGATACACATGAAAATATTAGGAACTTGACTTTTTCAGTGCAAGTCCAGACGCTGTCAAAACAAACATCAGTCTACTAGAATGAGATGCATTGCTCCATAAAAGTACCTATTTCCTTCCACTGATAGTTAACTATATAGTGTGTTTTGCATACAAGATGGAAACTTTGATTGTTCTATAATTCTTACAAACAAACCCAAATATGAACTTAAAATGTCTGAAATAAAAATTGAAAGGGTTTTGTTTTGAAATGAAGAGATGATTAGTTACAGTTGTAGAAATCCAGGCCCATTTTCTCCAAACTTACCATTTTCAGACATAGCTTTGATGAAGCTCTAACTTGTTTCAACATTTCTTTTTTTCCTTTCCTCTCTCCCTCCTGGCAGTATAAAATTGAGAAGGCTGTCCTAAAGAACCAAAGGCTCAATATCTCTGTCTGGCACAATGATACCTTTGGGAGAAATAGTTTCCTTGGTGAAGTGGAGCTAGATTTAGGAACTTGGGACTGGAATGATAAAACAAACAAGCAGATCAACTGGTTTCCGCTTAAGCCAAGGGTAGGTTACTAAGTTGGGGTTGTTTGTTTTATATTTTTCACTGTGTAAGTGCAAGACTAAGTGATTGTTTCTTCAGGCCTTGTATGCTGTGGTTACAAGTGTTTCAAGTAGGGAAAAATAATTTTTGTATTGGTTATAATCATAAATACCTCTTGGTGAATGGTAAATACCATTCTGAGTTTTCTATTAGTGTAGTAAGTAGCCAGCTATTTTAAGAGTAAGCAAAAATTTCTCAAAGTCTGAGTAGAGGGAATTTCAAGCTACTTCTTGGTTATGTCATATTGCTGCAACAGATATGTAAAGGAACTTGTTCTCTGAATATACAATATGTCTACGGAGAATATGTGTCCAGTGTAGCACTGTCAAGTGCTTAGGCTTGCCTTAAAATGTCCTGTAAACTGAGGCAAGATTGAAGGATGAGAAAAGAAGAAAAAATGTCCCTCTTGTAGAAGTCAAGCTTGTTTCTGTGGAAAACTTTGCACAGTAATCTCTGAGTATGAACTGCAAGGTTTGGGGTTTGTGATTTTCTTGTATTCATTTGTTTATTATCTCAGGCTTCAGCAATGGCTCTTGAACTAGAAAACAGAGGGGAGATGAAACTAGCCCTCCAGTATGTCCCACAACCTGTTGGAGGTATGCATTACTTCTTTTTCTGGGCTTGTTAGGCCCTTGGGAGATTTTGTTCTTTTCTTTTTTTTTTTTTCTTTAAAAAAAAAAAAAACTTTTAGCATTTTTCAACAAATTCAGTCATCTTTTTAATATAAAAGCATTAATTCATCTTGAGAGTTAAGTCAATCTGGTTATAAATTCACTTCAGTATCCATGGCCATTTTATTGTTTTTATTGTTATTACGGAAGAAATTACTGGGTTGTTATAATCTATTAAGCTTGTAATGCAGTCTGTATAGGGAACAAAGTTCTTTCTTCTCACTAATTACTTCAGTGGTTATAAGTTGTCAGGCAGGTGCTATTATTTGCTAAATACACAGTGACAATACACTAAAGTCAAGGTATATGAGATGGGGAAATAGCCTAGAATGTAGCAATTTACAGCAGTACGATCTGTGCGTTTATTCTTGTCTGGCAACTGATAACTGTCTGCTCTGACAATGAAGCCAGGCCAGGGCCGACCAGTCAGTCAATAAGTATCAAATATATTAAGAGTGCAGAAGAGCTTATTTGAAAATGTCAGAGCCAATGAAAGCTGGTATCACATAAACTAGAAACAAGCTGATATCTTCACCTAGGAGACTTGGAAAGAGAAGACCAGTAGCTTGCATTTGTTGATTTGTAACAGGAGAGGAGTCGTTATAGGAATACAGACATGATATGGGCTTGCAGTACTTTGGGATGAAGATTGCAGCTTCAAGGGTAAAGAAATGAATATTAGATTAAAATGTGAGATAATGCGAGTCTAGGCTGGACATCACCTCTGCAAACGGATGACAGGAACAGCTCCGTCATGGAGATGACCTTTAAAAGCAATTTGTAAGGCTTAACCAGAACCAGGATGTTCTAGAGAATGGTTAGAATTTAAAGTGATGACCAGGTTACTGCTGTGAGTGACAGATAGATTATATTGTCTACAAAATGAATAGAAGAAGATTAGAAGGTAAAACCACTAAAGCACTGAAGACTAGGAGACATCCGAGATAAGTGGAGCTTTTTAACCTGAATGAGGTACAGATCAAAGAGGTACACCATAAGCCGTGCAAATAGGAATTTGTGGTTCTAGATCATATATCCAGAGATAAGATACAGAATGAGAAGAGATGGACATCAAGAACAAATCCTATGGGATTCTCACTGGTTGGAGAAGGGGGAGGATTAAGGAGGACTTTGCGAATGACCTAGTGAAGAAGCCATAGCAGAGGGAGAAGGAATGGGTGGGATCACAGAGTCCTAGGAGGACAGGATTTCAAGGAGTTTTCTGAAAGGCAGCAACGCTATCCAATTTCTGTCTGTTCAGGCAGATGAAGACAGTGTCTACTTCCAAAATAAGCAGAAAAATCTCATTAAAGAACTTGGTAAAGGGGTCTTCAGGTTCTGAGAGCAGAAACAAGACCTTTCCTTTCTTTCTTAAGTAGGGTAGAAGGTGAATTTAGGATCAAGTTGAATGAGGCCCTTCAGACATTTATGGTAATGAACCTCTTAAGCTTCTGAAGAAACGAGTACTTAAAATACTTAGAAAAGCAAGTGGTAGCGAAAATGACTTTTGAAGATGAGAAAAGCTCAAAGTTCTTACACTGACTAGAAAGTCAAAGAAAAGAAAGTTTAAGATATGGAAAGGCATGCTGTCAATTTTCATGATAAATAGTTTTTTCCTGAGTTTGAAAGATTTCTTATTTAGGAGTTTTATTCTCCATTCCCTTTGCCTCTCAATCGCTGTGCAGATAGTTTTTTACCAAGCACTATATTGCGAGGAATTATTCAGTACTGTTGTATATTTTTTTCTTTTTAAGGAAAGAAGATTCCATCCACCGGTGAGGTCCACATCTGGGTGAAGGAATGCCATGACCTTCCTCTTCTGAGGGGCAACCGGCTCAACTCTTTTATTAAGTGGTAACAGCTATGTTTAAAATCATCGTGTGTGGTGGCTTAATAATGCTTTCTAATCCTCCCTTCATTTTTTAAAAAATTTAAATTAAAAACACCTAATTACTTTCTATTTTATTGTCAGGCAAATCATCCTGCAGGACCTACAACTTCAATATGCTAAGGATATACCACCCCTTATAATGTGCTGGGAGCATTTCTTTCATAATCCTTATACTGTCATGATGTTTCCTCAGCTGCTTAATGGAATGGCTAGTCACAATTAAATCAGATCTTATGTCTGCCTTTAGCTGCATTTAAACAAAAAAGGTTGTTGCAGGAGTGTGGTTTAGCTTAGCAAATCACAGGAGACAGAAATGAGAAGCACAGTTGTATTTCTTCCTCCTGCCTTTCCACAAATACATTAAAATGGAAATAGAGAAGAGCAGCAAGATGGTTGGGAAATCTCTGGCAGCAAAAAAAAGGTTTCAGCATCACTGTTGATAACCCGACAGCTAAGCTCCCTTGTATCTCCTCCCCATCTGATTTCTTCCTTTCCATTGTTTGAAGCACTGGGTGGACACATCCTGTCAGTATTTCTTGGAAGGGACTGATAATGCAACCTTTGGCTTATCTCCGTGATACTAAAGCATCTTATCTTCAGTCACGTTATAACTTGCGAAGTGGAGTGTTATTCGGTAGCTTCCTTCTATTCAGTGTGTTTAATGCACTCTGGGCTTAATGCACTCTGGGCTGTCCAAGTGTAAACTGATAACGCTTTCTCCTTGTGAAGTACCATTCTTCCAGATACTAGCAGGAAAAGTCGCCAGAAAACGAGAACAGTGGCAAAAACTACAAACCCAGTATTCAACCACACCATGGTCTATGATGGCTTTAGACCAGAAGATTTGAAAGAAGCCTGCGTAGAACTCACGGTTTGGCATCACAACAAACTAGCCAACCACTTTTTGGGAGGTCTCAGGATAGGCCTTGGAACAGGTACCAGGCTCTTGATAGATTAATTTTTTTTTTTTTTTTTACAAAAGATAGTCTTTGTTTTCTTTTTTTACCTTTCAATTTCTGCTGCTTTTGCAAAGGTCACTGAACAGACTTGCACCTAGAGTTTCATTCAATAATTTATCTATTTCTTGGCATGGATCCTGAAATGCAAATAGAAATAGTATTACGAGTGTTATGGATGACTGACAATTTAGAAGAAATCTTAATGGACAGACAAAGGTTTTATTTTTCATAGTACCTGGTACTATTTGAAGCAGAGTATATGATTCCTGCACCCAAAATCTTGATAGCTTCTTACAAATTTACACTTGCAAAACAGGATACCTGGGGTAGAGACAATACTGGGTGGAGATACAAGGACAGAAAGAGAACGCATGATATGATTTGGAGATATTGAAAAGGAAAAACTAAATGCAAACAAGCTTTTAGCACAAAAAGCAGTGTAAGAAGGCAGGTAGATGGAAAAGTTGAATGCGTTCTCAGTCATTATATTTTGTCCCTTTCATCGCCCTCGTTGGTCTGGGGGAAGGATGTGTTTGCAGTCTTTTCAAGCAAATGCAAGGAAAAAATGACTTTTCCCAAATGAAGTTCTTGTGTGGTTCATTAGCATAACCTAAAATACAAAATAGGATAGGAAATCTCAGACTGAACTTTTAAGTAGCCAAGCTTGTATTTCAGTACTAAAATCAGTGGCCCATTTTATTTTTAATTGCTCTCAGATGTTAATCCCCTGTATATTGTTCCATCTATGCAAAATATAAGCTTCTTCAGCTTTAGACTGAAGCCTAAACCCCTGTATTTGATATCTCGTCTTAGCTTTCTTCTTGGAATTGTGATAAAGTAAGACAAATAGTAACAAGAAAAAAATAACTGGAAAAAGATGATGTTTCTGTGCAAAATTGCCATTAATTTTATTTGACAGAAGTTGTTGAAGTGTAAACATGTAGAACTGGATCTTGAAAGTATTAGATTTTTTAGAAGAGGGGCAAATTTGACTTTCTGCTCTCAGCTTTGAAGCTTATTAAATGATTAATGTTGTTCTTAAAACCGACGTTTTTCTAGGCAAAAGCTATGGAACTACAGTAGACTGGATGGATTCTACTTCAGATGAAACTGCCCTGTGGGAGAAGATGATGAACTCACCAAACACATGGATAGAAGACACACTGCCTCTCAGGATGCTAATGGTTGCAAAACTGACAAAATAAAGTGGCTTTTTAATTGCTAGTGCCAAAAAGAAACCTTGGGAATAAAATTAAAGGGAGCAGGAAGAAACTTGCAAGCGGAATACAGTGGTTCTTGTGATGGTGTCTGTTTTCTTGCTGTTCTGTTTTGTGGTGTCATATTTTTAAATTAAACTTCTACCTGCAGATTACTATGTAAATTTAAGGAGTTCTTTTTTTTTTTTATTTACTGAAAATTAGTTTGAGTAAGAAAGAAGTCTTCTCAATAAGACTGAGAAGTCTTCAGTGGTAGAGGTAGCTGTGAGATTTGAATGCTTGTATTGCCTAAATGAAGCGCTTCTGATTCCTTATCTAAATTGGCAGCAAAAAGGAAGAGCAAGTCATCTCTTTCTACACATCACTAGGATTGCTTGTAAGGTGTTTATTAATAAGATAGCAAAAGACTGGTGTTTGTTGATGCTCATTAGTATGTGTACACAGCTGAATCCTCTTTAATGTCCAGTCAGATCTCCAGCAAGAATTCTGAGCATGCAGAATTCATTTAAAAAAAAAAAAAAAAAAAGCCCCTTTTCTATAGTTTTATATTTGTAGGATGTGAAAGTATTTCTATAATGAAAGAAACATTCTGTGGAGTGGTACTGTTGATGTTCTGTCCTGCAAGGTACAGAGGACTGTTAATTCCAATGAAGAATCAGGGTCATAAAGAGTCTGCTTATATGTGTAATTAATCACCTTGCTGGTATACTAACCTTACTCTTAAATGCGGAAGGGATTGATGTCGAATTTTTTTTTCTTCAAATGCTACTCTAAAGCATCTAAAATTGCCAGTTTTAATGATGACAAATAGGTTGGCTATTTATTTGTATTTTCTGTACCTTGTTGGCTTGTTTTTTTTCCAAAAAAATAATTTATCTGTACTTTAGCGCCACCGTTAGGAGATTGGTGGGATTATGGTAGTCAGCTTTGTAGCATATGAAATAGGACTGGAATTTGTCACCTGTAGAAACGCATGCCAGTAACAAAAGCTAAATGCATAAAATACATTTTGTATTACAATGTTTTGGATTTTTTTTGTTTTTTAATAAAAGCAGTCTATTAAAGCTACATAGGAATTCAATGTTTAATTAAAATTCAAAGTATTTTCTATTAGCAATTCAGTACAGAACATTAAAAAAAATGCAGAGGAAACACACTTTTCCAAATAAATGCACATTTATTTGCTGCAACTGCATAGGTCTAGAAGCTGGTAAAATCTAGCGTTTCCTTAGAGTAGAGAGGAAAAGGGGGCTGTTCACCTCCAACTCTGTTGCTGAACTTGTTTATACATTTACTTTTGCATAACTTACTCGATGTTATACACTATGAGTGGGGAGGGGGAAGGAGCAGTGCTGTTCAACCTGCTGGGGGACCCACTTTCTCTCTGATCAACAGTCTATGGGAATTACAAATGCCCAAAGTCGGTGTTAGTCTCAATCTTTTCCTGCTTCAGGTGTTTTGGATGAGCTGGTAGCTGCTACAGAGTCCATTTTACTTTTCCAGAAGCACCACCCTTTCAGGGATGGCTATTTAAGATTATAGAAGCCATGCAACTGTTACATCGTTTAAATAAAGATATATTTTGTTTTGAAGTGTAGTATGGATATTATTCTATATTCATACAAGTATAACAATTTGTGTGTATCTGATCAAGAGACACCTAGTTTGTTTGTATTCGCTACCTACATGAATTCATCTTCACCAGGAAAAAGTACTTTGCTGCGAGCCTGACCTACAATTTAATAGGTAAATAAGTGTTTGTTTCTTTGTTTTTCCTCCTGCGAAATTTAAATACATTGCTCTGTCTTAAAATAGCTTTGGGACTTTAGAGTTGGAACAGGGTCTTGAGGCTCCAAAGCTGCAGGCTAATGTCATGTAGTCTTCTGTGTTCTATATTTACAAAATTCTGGTAGTTAAAAATTTATCTGCCATAAAAATAAAATGTCTAGTTTATGACAATGCCGATCTTGTATTTTGGTCAAACAGAAAATCTTCTGTGTCACTTCTCTTGAACCATCCTAGAGGCCGAAAAAGCTGCCTACTACTACACTAAATATATCAATACTTAGTTTAAATTTCAAAAAGCTACCTGAACACAAGCTTTACCCGTGCACTTGTAATTAGTAAGATGACTAAGTAATGACACAACAGCATTACATAGTCATCCAGATAACCAAACACTGAACCAAATAACCAAAACAGGCCCTCTATTGCAAAATTCAGTCTCCCCTCAAACTTGTTTAATAGCTGTTTACAGGATGTGCAGAAAATGGATACTATTTTAGGCCAACATCCAAGGACAGTCATCACCAGAAAGAAATGTGAGCCACCCTTATACTACTTCCAAATTTACAGGGAGTCAGCAGAGGTGGCCACAGCAGTATCTTTGGGAAGTATACTAGCACTTAAGTGCTATACTAGCACTTAACAATATAGTTTTAAAATATATAGCATATATTTATCACTTTTAGCCTTCAAAAGAGTCTGCATCAAGCTACAGATCTTTAAGATCTTTAGCAGATCTTCAGCAGCTGTGCTTATCATCTTTTTACTGTTTTACGGTGTATTGTAAAACACAAGAAAAGTCAAAGCTGTCCCGGTGAGAGGAACTTGGTGTAAGGGAGGGTTACAGACAAAGCTGCATCATCAGTGGAAAATGTATTCTGATTACCCTATGCATATTGTGTTAGTTAACTATAGAGCAGGAAAACTAAACTTCTACCTCCTGCTAAATGCTAGTGTATTGATTTATTAAAAAGCAATTGAAGGCAATCATTGGAGCTAACTGTGTAAGCTAACAGGAATTTTGTATTGAAAATACTTAATGTATTTTATGTACATGTACTGAATGTACATTTAAAATTATTCATTGACATTCCTCTGAACATGGCTCATGTAATAAATATGGTTTTCCACAAACTTCATAGTCATTCCTAAGTACAGTAGGATGCTGCAGATTGGTAGCACTCACTCTGATAGAGAAATGTAAGTTTGTGCTGTTTACCAAGACAAAAAGTTTTAGGAAACTAGTTTATTTGCATTCTCTCTTACTCTGCAGTCAAAAGGAAAGGCTTTAGAGCCATCCATAACCAGAACTTTAAAGTCATATACTTAAAACATAACTGGTACTCACTGAAGTACAGTTTGATAAAATAATAGCTCTGCTGTGATTCCAGTTCACCTTTACGAAAAAGCAGGAATACTCATAGAATGTCATTATATGCACTCATCCTTGCTCAGAAAGATGAATGGAAGAAACACAGCCCTTTCCCTCTTTGCTCATTCACAGCTCTTTCCATGCTCTATATCTGAAAAATCCCAATTTCTTTCTCTAATTCCCATTGCTGCAAGTAAGCCTGGAAACCTTAGTTGGCTTGGCGACCCACATCACTCCCGCTTTACCCGTTTTGAAAGATCCAGAACTGTGCCCTCTTTGTCTTGTTTGCTTCATATCATTTTCCAGAGGAGTCAGCAAAACCTGAACCTGAGACTTCCTTCCAGCAGCATTTGTTTTTCCCTTCCTCAGGAAAGGGAATCTGCCAGATTTTTCATTCACCACTGAATAAAGTTGTAAGTTTTTTAAGGCAAGGGCTATGTCTTTACTTTTAGCCTGTGGATGTTCAGCATGTTCCGAGACTGCTGTAGTCTGCCATTATGATTTCCTCTGCCACATATGGTGCAGGCCAAGAGAGGGGAGATCTTTGTATTTCTGGAAATCCTATTCCCTTGACAGAACCTCGGTTCCTTTGAGGGTGTTCACAGCATTCGTCTGCTAAAAAACACTCCTAGTTATTTCTGTTACTGTTCTGGGATTGGCCCAGCTCCAACTGGCCCTTTTCCAAGCAGGGCAAATGAAGGCATCAGCTCTGGAGTGACTGGAGTCATATCACCATGGAGACAGAAACTCCACAGCAGGAGTGGCAACAAACATTCAGAGAAAGAAAATACCTGGTAAGAAAACTTTTTTTTGCCTCTTAATTCCTTCTTTGTTATGTTTCCACTAGATAGCCTAAACTTGTTGGTCCTTTTCTCTCTTCTCCATTCTTTCAAAATACTTTGGCAGGAGCCAAAGAAAGTAGCAGCAGCAGTAGGGGAGTGTGGGATGGCATATCTAGAGGTAGTATCCCTACTGAGGGTCACCACTATGTAGTTCTGAATCTGTGGGCTGGCTCCTTGCATTATACTCTATGCTTCACAGGCATTGCCCTAGCTTGAATTCATTTCTGCTGTACGTTATTTTTCGTCTTTCCTCTATTCCTTTCTTTAAGCTGGCTCTGTCACATATCCCATTCTACCTCCAGTTAAAAGCCAGGATGTTTACGAAAACTGGTTATCAGCATACTATTTGACATGCTGTCTAGTTTTAGAGTTGTGTTTGAATGAAGAATCTGTAGAATAGCTTTGGGCTAACTTTTCATACAGCTGGGTAACATGCAGCATTATTAGGCACCAGTACTGATTTTGGTGCTACCATAATATGAATATTTCTCCTATCTTCCACATGAGAAAATAGACTTTTAAAATTATATGCCTAAAATAATCCAGCAAATCATTGTCAAAACTCAAATTATGTACTATTTCTCCAGGCACCAAGTCTTTATATCACAATGCATTCAATAATTATTAGCATTGTGCAGATCTTTTTTATTCATAAATCTCTAAGCACAAGGTAAGGCTATTCAGTTATTTTAGATGAGGAATATAACATATTGTTAAAAACTTGTAAATCAATTAGAAGACCAATCTAACCCTCACTGTTTTACTTACATTTATAATACCGGATCTATAGGAGAAAAGGAGGGCAGAGGAAGAGGATTGCTTGAGGAATTATTTGCAACTTCATCACTTACTGGCATTTTACCTAAATATAATAGTACTTCTTGTAGCTACAACAGCAGCGCATTGAGGAATAATTACAAAAGCTAATAGCCAGCAAATGAATACGCTCGCATAAACACTAAGCCTATTTTCTCTGCTTTTGCATCATCGAGTCCAGCATCCCTCTCTTCAGTCTGCCTGACTCTGAACGCATGTGAAGCTGACAGCTCTCTCTGCAGAGGCAAGGGCTGTTGCAGGACCAAGCACCAGTTGCAGACTGCCGTTGGCTTCAGAACGCCCCGGTTTCCACCGGTGATATAACGACGTTCCAGAGAAACTCCACCCCTTTAGTGGAGTGTGTTTGACCACAAACGAGAACCAGTGGGTACAGCTGAGATACGCTGAATGTTACTGGCCAGTACAAACTTTTTTCATCTCTGTGAGAGACAGCTGCGCCATGGCTGAGGATAAGAGAGACCCTGGGAGGTCCAGACCCATGAATGATCCAGAGATGGAGAAAGACAGGGAAGATCTGAATAAGGGCCTGTGGAAATTCTGTGGGATCCCTGAAGAGGAGAAGAGTGAGAAGGCTCTGCTACGTTCACGCATAGAAGAACAGTATCACCTTATCTGCATACTGAAGAGAAGAGCAGACGACGCACATAAGCGCTGCAAAGGCCTGGAGCAGCTCAATATGAAGCTGGAGGAACTGAGGACTGAGGATGCTGCGAAACTGAAAGCCCAGACCCAACGGATTCAGTGCCTGGAGGAACGTTTCATGGACCTGGCTGACAACCATGAAAAAATGATCCGCTTCAAGGATGAACATAAGAAACAGAATATGCAACTATGGCAGGAGAATAACCGCCTGAGGCAGGAGAATGAAACTCTCTTCAGCCAGACCGTGAGGGAGAAGGAAGCTGAAGTGCTCCAGCTCACTTCCCAGGCAAGAAAGCTCTCTCAGCAGTTAGATTCCTTGCAGGAGAAATGTGCTTATGAGAGTCGCAGAGCCCAGGAGCGAGAAAAGGAGATGCTAGAAGCTCAGAGCCAACAAGCAAGTGCTTATGCCTGGGAAGTGGATTCATTAAAAAAACAGCTGCAATGCCTACAGGAGAAGCACCAGCAAATTGTTGCACAGGTAGAGCAGGAAGAAAGTCAGCAGAGGGCTCAGGGCAGCGAGCTGCAGAAGAAGTTGGAGAGGGCATACCAGGAGAAAGAGGAACTCCTGAACCTGGCCGTGGAGAGGGGAAAAGCTCTGCAAGAGAAACAACAGGAAATTCAGCAGCTGGGGAAGAAGCTGGAGACGGTACAAAAAGCCAGGCAGCTAACAGAAGAGCACTTTGTGAAAGAGGCAGCAGCCGTCAGTGGTGATCTGAGGGTCCAAGAGCTCCAACGGCAGCTAGAAAGCAGCAAGCAGGCATACAGTGAGCTCTCGCTGCAGTTTGATGCTTACAAAAAACACAGTCAGGACTTGCTGACTAAAGAAAAAGAGCTGAATGTCAAACTCCGTCATTTCATTGCATAACTTCAACTTTCTTCTCTGTTCTAGGCCCAGCAGACACCTCTATTGTAACTCACCACTGCTTTTTATTCCTCTTCACTGGAATAATCTTCTAACAGATTTGTGTCTATGTACTTAACAAAGTTAAATCCTTCCATAAGGGACTGTTCTATAACCTCATTTTTTATAGATTTACACAAGTAAGATTGCTAGACTGTTAAATTTGAACAGGGCTTGCTGAAATAAACAGTGTGACAGGAGGGATTAGTGTGGAAAAGCTACAAATATGAGTTTGGTTTGTTTTAGTTGGTCCTAACCTCTGCTGTATCACAGATTTTCAGTTTTTACAGTCAAAGATGCACTATTTTCCAAGACAAACAAAATCTCAGATCCTTCGTCTCTGTGTCTGATTCTCCTTTGGACTTCAAAAGAGGTTGGGCAGTTGACTGGTATCTTTGAGGCTCTAAGAAATTCCACCTTGAAACACCTGCAGTATAAATAGTTGTGATGTAGCAGCTTGCAGTTAATACAAAAAAGAAAGGGAATGAAGAACTAAAACAGGTCAAAACAATACAATCATACAATTAATCACCTGAAGCTCAGATTTTAGCTACGGTTTTTCTAGTTGTCTTACAGATGTCTACAGTCTCATTTAAAATTGTAGCAGTAATTATATCCCTGTTCTCTTCAAAATAAATTGACAGGTCTTTTGGGTTGTTTTGATGGTTTTTGAAACAGGCTTAGGTTCTAGACATTGCTGCCAGCTTAACTGAGCACTAGGTGTAGACGAAATAGCGGTAACGCAAAAGATCGAAGGGTGCTGGTTTGACAAAAATTTTGACAAAAATCTTTCCCATTCTTGTCAGCACGGGAGGCTAGGGAGGCTCCCTACTTTCTCCTGCATCTCTCCCAGCTAGGCAGGAGGTCTTTGGCTGTTGTGTTTCAGCTCCTGCTCTTACAGCAGATTAAGTCTACCAAAAAAAAACAAAAAAAGTGACAGGCCGAATGGTGTCCCACATCTAGGCTGTGGTCAGCTGCCTCAGGAGCCCTCCAAGTTTTTACCACTGGTGCACAGTTTGGGGAAAGTCAACATTTCAGCTAGTTTTTTGGTTACTTGCGGGTCTTAAGCATCTACCAAACAGCTATACTGCATCAAGTGAAACCTCTTCTGGACCCAAGACAGTAAACGTCCAAAATCAGATGCCCAGGGGGATCTCCCAGCTCATGACCATTTTCGTTTGAAGGATTTACTCAACCAGACACGGTTTTCTAAGTTTCACGCAAACCCCTGTAAGACGTCCCTGCGCCCAGCTCCCGGCCGCACGCGGGTGTGTGTGTGACACGCCCACCATCGCAGGTGGGATAACCGGCTTCATTAATTTCCCCTCAGACCGCGTAAACAGCGCAGAAACGAGCGGGGGGAAGCTGTGAACGAGGCGCCACGGCTGGCGAGGAGGGAGGGACGCGTGTGCCAGGCGCCCCCTCGCCCTCCTCCCCTCACGGCC